TGAAAGAGAGAGCAGGGGATGGAAGCCAGTGGAGGGATTGGCAGGGGATGGAAACCAGAGGAGGGATTAGAACAGAGGGGGAGGGGATGGAAGCCAATGTAGGGATTGGCAGGGGATGGAAGCCAGAGGATGGATTAGAAGAGAGGGGCAGGGGATGGAAGCTAGTGGAGGGATTGGCATAGAGGGGTGTCGGACACTCAATGATTGGGAAGTTGGATGAATGTGGCAGCAGCATTCATGACAGACTGAAGGCCAACAAAGAGGGAGTTGCAGGAGTTGAGAGATAACAAAGGAGTTCATTAGTAGCTTGATGGTGTCACTGTTTATGAATACCGGGTGTATTTTGCAAATGTTACACAGGTGAAGGCACCGAGATTTGGACAATGATCAATTTCAATTTTTAAAACAATAATCATGTAACAAGGTTGGTTCTGAGTTGGGCAGAGACGGGATTCACTTGCACTTAGGGCAGTATTCAGCTACCTAACCCACTGCAGGAAGGTACGGAAAGAAAAGTTGTTTTTGTGGAAAGAAGTTCGCAGCTGAACTTGTCTCTGCGTATGCGTACGGCTTCAAGATTAAAGAGGAAAAGCCATATGGGATTAACCTTATGGTTCTGCAGCGCTGTTATAACAATTACATTGACAGGATGTTGGCGGGCTCAGAGCCTCCGGGGAAATTTGAGGTTACACAATGTTCGCTAAACAATTTTTTTTTTTTTTACCTGCTACTTCATAGTTTTTAAACTCAATGAATTTGTTTTCGTTTTTCCTTAAATTATGCGAGCGATTGTACGAGTCCCAGAACGGAGGTCTATTTCATGCAAATGCATCAAAATTATTCATCTCTGAATGGACCCCCTGACTTGCTGAGACTTCCTGAAATTTGCAATCTTAATTCTATGCAGGAATAGCATTTTTTTTTTATTTTACAGAGAGCTGCCTAAGAAAAGACACACTTTGTAGACTCATTGCTATAATGTTAGTCTGTCTATAAGGAATATATGAATTAAAACTGCTACGATGATATCATAGGCTTTATTATGTGGCAGATCAATGACAGAGCCGGCTGATGTCTTGCTATACAGGGCAGCCCAGGATAGAGGGGACCATCCGATATTTGGAAGCAGCTAAAACATAAATATTCAATCCTACATCAGATCGGATTATAATAATAACAAGATGTTCAGAGTATCTAGGGGAATAAAATATATTTAGTTTCTTGGATTTTGCAGACAGTCCAGATTGGTTTTTATATGGACAGAGCGTGACTTGGATTTACAAGCCCGTTCAAAGATCCTGGATGATCTAGCCCCATGGTTCTCAGCTGGTGGGTCGTGACTAGACATGTGCACCAGCCAAAAAATTTGTTTAGTTTCATTTCGGATTTTGCTTTATTTCGTTTTTTGGAATTCGGGTCCGAAAGTCAATTCGCTCCGGAATTCGGATCAAATTCGTTCGCGGTAATCTGTATGAAATTTCGTTTCGTTCGTTCGATGCAGCAAAGTGACATTTAAGAGGGAAAAAAATGTTTTTTGTTCTCAAATGTCACTTTGCTGCAACAAAATTTTGTCTAAAAAACGAATCAGAAATTTGGATTAGTTTGTATTCGTTATATCTGTAATTCGGAATTCGGATACATACGAATCTCCGAAATTTCGATTCAGAACGAAACGAATCGCACATGTCTTGTCGTGACCCAAAAGTGGGTCGCGACCCCATGTTCATTGAGTCACCGCATGCCTTCCACTGCACTAGGTGAGAGGCTCCTCAGCCTCCCCTATTGCACACCAATGTCAGTTCTCGTGCCGAGCAGCCGTTCAAAATATACTGCCTGGCGCCGAGTGTCAGCTTGAGGTGAGGTGGGCTGGAGGTATGGCCGTGAGGGAGCTCCATCCATACGGGCATTGCTTACAGCTCCCTCGTGTGACCGGAGTGACGTTAGATTCTGGCCCCCCGCACCGCTACAGGGATCTGTACAAGCAATGCACGTATGGATGGAGTTTCGTCAGAGCACAGCAGCCCACACTGAACCTCTACATTTTTTTTTTTTGGAGTGTGTATGTGTGTGAGAATGTCACTGAGTGTGTGAGACTGTGTCTGTGGTTGTGTGCGTCTTAATCGCAAACTACCATGCAATCGCACCCACTGTTCGTTCTGGTGCGGGAGGTGCATTGTGTTGCAATTCATCTGAATAGCACCCAAAACACACCTCTCACCTCTTGATTATTTGCCAGGGGACATGCGTTTACTGCAATGCTGTGCATTCCAGTGTGGTGCGACTTGGGTCGCAACTTAATGACCAAGGACAAATGTGGGTCCTGAGGTTATACAGGTTGGGAACCACTGATCTAAAGTGTGCTGATCTAGCTAATATACCTCATAGGGGTCATACACACCCTGATATCTACAACTCTGACATCTGAGCAATGCATGTGATAATCAGGCTGTGTAGACAATAATAAATGGAAGCTTGGACTAAGTGGCCTGATGTTGATGAATGATAACTAAACAAAGGAACCACAAGCAACAGAGGCACTTTGTATGGCAACAATTATGTTCAGTAATGTTTATTAATAGGTCATCAGTGGTACTAATGGTTGAGGATTAGAATCAATAGTGATGCTAGAAGATACTTCTTGGCAATGACTGCACACCTAAATTGTTTTCCTCAGTGGTAGAGCAAAGAAAAAAAAGTTGAGCTGCGTTTGGGCTGCCACAATGGCAGGCCATGAGGACTACAACAAAAGACATGAGGTCCACATTCAGAACCCAGACCACCCCTCTTGGGACATGTTGGAAATCTAGCACATGGCTCGTCTGGTTCTCACCTGGGCTGATGTGCTGTTTAGCTTCTCAAGTCCGTTTTCCAGGCGCTCCATCTTGGCCGCCAGCTCTTTGCCTTTCTGGGATAGAAGGTTCTGATACAACTTGATCTGCTCCAGGAAGGACTTAGGCGTGGTGTAATTGTAGCGGCGCTCATTGCTCAGGTAGCTTTTGGACATCTCGTTGACGCTTGTGTGCACGTAGGCCATAAATTTACTTATAGAGTCTTTAACTGAAGGCTGAGATAAAAACAAAAAGAAAAGCACATGAATGTATCCCCATTCTTTCGATGGAAGGGCACAACAAACCTAACATCTTTTGACCCAGAATGTCAGTACACCGGGTTCACAACCAATACCCGGATCCACCATATGGCACTTCATTCATGTCTACCCCAGCATACACCTTTTGTATGTCAGGTCTGCATAGAAGGGCTCTCACCTCAATATTCTCAGTTTCCTGGAGGAATCTGAGACTGACAGACTCCAGCGCCTCCTGTGGCCACTCATGGAACCAATCTATTGCTGTACAATTGACCACAGCTGGGAATTTTCTGCTCCGGACTCGCAACTTGTTTCCGACGGGAGAGAAACACAAAGCGACCTGGAAATGAAAAACAGTTGTAAGCCAACAAGTACTAGTTGAGTGAAGCCCCTTCCAAAAAAAAAAGTCCTTTCTGTCGCAGCATGACTGCGCCCCTGGGAACAAAGCCAGCTCCATAAAGACCTGGATTGACCAGTTTGGTGTGGCGGAACTTGAGTGTCCTGCACAGATCCCTAACCTCAACCTACTGAACATCATTGGAATGAAATGTAACGCAAAGCCAATTGTAAGCCAGATCTTTTCATCCAACTTCAGTACCTGACCTCACAAATGCCCATAGATAAACATCAAAATCTTGTGGAAAGCCATCCGTGGAGGATGATGTAACTGCAAGGGGACGATAACTTCATATTAAAGTCCATTGGATGTAACTGCAATGCCACCCTGCGACATCTGTAAAAAAATAAATCGAGGCAACTGGATTTGCTGGATTTTTCCTGAAGATGTTTTGCTGGTCATCTGACCAGCTTTCTCAATTCCGAAATTCGAGTACTTTGGGCAAATACTTCTACTCCATGCTTCCCAGCCAATCAGCATGGAGCCAGCTTCCCAGCCAATCAGGGAACCAAGAGGCGGGTCATTACTTGCCGCCCGGCTTCCTGATTGCCCGAGAAGCCGGCTCCATGCCGATTGGCATCAAGCCGGCCAAACATGGAGCCGGCTTCCTGGGAAATGAGAAAGCCGGGTGCCGTGACATTACAGCCTCCCGGGAAGCAGACTCCATGTCAGTGGAAGCACCGGTACCAATACTCGGCAAGTACCGACAGCAATATATCGGTACACGTACTCGATACAGAAAAAAACAGTATCGGTGCATCCCTAATGAGAACCTTCACAGACACCCTGTCACATGTTCTCCCAATGGAGATTACAAGCGGCAGTGCTGAGACATATTACGCAGGCATAGTCCACTGCTGTCACCATCAGGAAACCCACCCACATGAGAAATCGCATACATGCAGAAAGTGGCCTCAAAGTGGCTGCAGTGGATCAGCAAAACTGAGATGTAACAAAGGAGAAAAAAAAAGTATTTTATTAAATGTAAATCATTGTTTAAAGAATAACATTGTTGATTATACACAGTGCACAGAACAAACGAAATGTCAGCCATTTAGGGTTTAGATCCAAATCCAACGTCCTCCTATTTATAATATTTTATTTGGATATGTTGGTTAAGTTTGCAGCGGTCTGTACACAATGTTACATGCGTGCCAAGTTTCTGCATGTGCGTTGTAACGTTTCCCTACTAGGGCACTTTAAATGTCATCGGATAATCGTCAGGCTGGGCCTGTAAACATCTTACTGGGAGATGAAGGCTCGGTCACAAAAGTCGCCTCACAGCCGTTCGCGAGCAAAAGACCAACATTTAATTTTCTCCTCCGAGGTGAGGACAGTCAGACAGGAGCTGCAATTTCACTGTCACTAATATTCAGCAGGAGAAAATAGTTTTCAGGAGACGCAAAACAAAACTTTTTACATTATGTAACTTGTTTTCCTACAGCAGTGAGCAGGAAGGACATAGAACAGACGGTGGCTCCGCCATCGCAATCCCGACTCCTGGCTATTACATTAGTATGGCATCTCAGTTTTGGGTGAATAGTGGCTGGATGAATCATTGGCTCTACACATGAGGTCATGGGAGAAGCAAGCCAGCAGGTGACTCAGCCCATCGAAGTGAAGTGTTTACACAGTACTGACTATAGGCATTACAATGTAAGTCCTTTAATAAGGTCAGGCTATTCAAGCAAGTTAGAAATACAAACTTTCATCTGTTTCCCTTTCTACTGGTGCCCCCTTCATCTGTTTCCCTTTCTACTGGTGCCCCCTTCCCCTTTAAGAGCTCTACAGATTGTGGGACATGGGACTTGTCAGTAACCACATGACACGGGTGCATCCATTGTAGGACATGACAATTGTCAGTAACCACATGACACAAATACATCCATTGTGGGACATGAGACTTGTCAGTAACCACATGACACAAATACATCCATTGTGGGACATGAGACTTGTCATTGATCACATGACATGGATGCATCCACTGTGGGACATGAGACTTGTCATTGATCACATGACATGGATGCATCCACTGTTGGACAGGAGACTTGTCAGTAACCACATGACACGGGTGCATCCATTGTGGGACAGGAGAATTGTCATTGATCACATGACACGGGTGCACCCATGGTGGGACAGGAGAATTGTCATTGACCACATGACATGGGTGCATCCATTGTGGGAAAGGAGAATTGTCATTGATCACATGACATGGGTGCATCCATTGTGGGACAGGAGAATTGTCATTGATCACATGACACGGGTGCATCCATGGTGGTACAGGAGAATTGTCATTGATCACATGACACGGGTGCATCCATGGTGGGACAGGAGAATTGTCATTGACCACATGACATGGGTGCATCCATGGTGGGACAGGAGAATTGTCATTGATCACATGACATGGGTGCATCCATGGTGGCACAGGAGAATTGTCACTGATCACATGACATGGGTGCATCCATGGTGGCACAGGAGAATTGTCACTGATCACATGACATGGATGCATCCATGGTGGCACAGGAGAATTGTCACTGATCACATGACACGGGTGCATCCATTGTGGAACACATGTCCTAATTAAGCAGAAAAGTATGAAAGTGATTCCTCTGAACACAAGAAAAGTTGTCGGAAAGCCTGCAGATGTTGTGCGGTGGAAGCCCCACGTCACTCCAACCGAGGAGAATTTCTCTGATAATAGCGGGCGGCTTTGACTTCCTTTCCGGATCCCTCTGAAGTCAGCGTTTCCGAGGCTGCAATTAGGGGACTCCCGCTCGCCGCAGCTTGCGCGCCTTTCTTCTCTGTAATATTTACGGATGTTCTACAGACACAAACATTTGTGCAATCAGAGGCGGCGGAATCCTTTCTGCGGGAATAATGGCTGTTTGTCCCCGTCTGAATGGGCTAATCATTGTTTCGCTCTTCTTTCCGAGCGACGGCGGGCGAGTAATCATGTTGGAGATGTGTTTTTTGAAAATGTATTGATTGGATAATCACGTCTGAATCGTTCTTTTTTTTTTTCTTTCAGCCGTTTGCGCGGATGCCGGCGCCATCTGTTGCCTCCCGTCCTTCTAATGAACGGGGGAACGGGAACAAAGCGAGGATGCCGGGCCCAAAATAAAAAAAATGCTGCGACGGCCAAAAGAGCTGCATCTGCCCCGAACTCCCTCCGTGGAGGAATCCTCTCCGAATGCTTTTGCTACAAATTTGTGAGATTAAAAGGGACACAATGTGCAACTTTCATCAATTGCATCATTAGAGCTCCCCAACTTATTTCAGCTCAGAGATGAATTGTGGCAGAGAGTGATCCCGACTATGACAGAGCAGCACAATGTTAACATGTAAAACAGACGTATCATCAGATATACAGTGGGGGGAATTTATCAAAACTGGAGCAGACAAAATCTGGAGCAGCTGTGCATGGCAACCAATCAGCTTCTCTCTTTCATTTTCAAATCCTAAGTGAACAAACTGAAGAGAGAAGCTGATTGGTTGCCGTGCACAGCTGCTCCAGATTTTATGAATTCCCCCCAGTATGTTTCCGTGTTAAGTGCTGCATGATCAGTAATG